GTCCCATGTAATAGGGAGTGAGCTTATTGCCATATATCGGGCACAATTCCCGACTCCGTGCAACTAGTGAGATTTGTTTTAAAAACCCAGCAAAACTTTGCCCGACGCGGGAATCGAACCCAACACTTGCGACCACTCGACCAAAAACCACGTTAACCTCACCTGTTCAGCTATATAGTATGTATAAGACTCGGGTCCGTGTCTCCAGCAACACCTGAAGGTTTCTCCCAGCACCGGATTGTACGGCTTCTTCAAACCCTTAGGTTTCCGGTAGAGGCCTGATAGATACCAACGTAGAACTGCTACAAACCGCTGATAGGGATCTTCTACTTGTTGGGCTCTGGGAAAGAAAAAAAGTTTTTTTTTAAGGTGGAATATCATCCAATGACTTCAATATTTCACAGCTGCAGTGATAGGGTAGTTTCCAGGGTAACAAAATTAAAAATCTAATTAGTCCGTCAGTTACATAATGAAAAAATATTAGACACGTATTTTTTTATTCTCTCGTATAAAGTTACAGTATTTAAATAAAATGGCGTTAAGTTTAGGAGTGGGAGGTAGTTACGTCACAACGTGGTACTTTTTGTAGCACGCTGTGACGTCACGCGACATTTCAAATCAATATATCGTCAAAAACATTTAATTTTGTGAGAAAAGAAAAAATACGTGTCTAATGTTTTAAATTAATCTACCAGACGGACATTAAAATAACATTTAGGAAACTACCCTATTGAACAAAAATACCTCATTCTATATTGGCCCATTTGGTGATAATTTATAGTTATCATTATTGTTTTGTGTTTTAAACAAAAACCGCAAGTTTTACAGGTTTCAGGACAAATGTTTAGGTATCAGTAATTAATACACTACACGATGCTGAATACTGCATACTTGTACATGACTTCTAATATAGTGGGTCAAAGATGTACTGAGCACCTGGCATTGTCCTTTATTTATTTATTTATTCTATATATACTTTTCTACGACTTTATTATAATATGTATAGAAGATATTTTACTGTATTGAAGTCGAAATAATTTATTTTTGATTAAGGCAAGTACCCAGTTACTGAACTACTTGCATAAGAAAATATTTATCAAAAAAGAAACGAGTTGCTCCCGTTCCTCAAAAAAATATACTTACTCCGCCAAGATATCAGCATGGTAATAATTATCCGAAAGTTTGTCCAGAAACGAACGAGGTTCCAGTATGAAAGTCGGTAGCACCACCTTGCTGAGGTCCATACCAGGTCTGACCTGTTTCAGAAGGAACCAGAGAAGAGACTTGTTCTCTTCCGCTACTTCTTCTACTAATTCTCCTGCCTGAAAAAGAGATGTCGAATTAGTTATGTTTTGTGACTGACAAGTTGGCTTGATAAGTTTCAAGGCATGTTGGAGCTCATAGTCGTTGTTTGAAACTAGTTGAGTTACTTCGACTAACAGTTGAATTAGTTACCTTTTATGGTTTCAGGGTTATTTATAGATTAGTTTTGTATAGTATTTGTTAGGGGTTACTTTATGAAGGACCCGTGGCGCCTTCATTGGTTTTCAAATTCAAATTTACAATCAAATTCAAATTTCAAATTTCAGCGCGGTAGCTGGGCAACTGGCTGCCGCGTAACGTGTCGCGGGTTCGATTCCCGCGCGGAACAACTCATTGTGTGATCTACAGATTGTTGTTCCGTATCTGTGTGTGATGTATATGTGAACTTGTATATTCGTAAAAGCATCCACGATACAGGAGACAATCGTAGTGGAAAAATATAAAAAAAAACGAAATAGTGATCCTGGCCGCACATTTACAACTAGAAAAATACTAAAATAATACTCACCACCCCGATATCAACATTTGTATCCAATACGTAATTTTTTTCAATATCAGTGATTATCTCCTGTTTCTTCAGCTGGGAGGGCTGTCGATCCGGCATACCGTTCCTGGACCCGTCACTGTCCGAGTCCGAAGCAGCTCCAGCTAGCTCTGTCGTAGGAGGGTGACCATTAGCTCAACTACTGATTAGCAGAAGCGTAGAAAGAAGAGAAGGAGATAGAGATAGATATAGAGACGACGACAAAAAGAGTGTAAACATTTTGAAGATAAGTCCTTCTGTTAAATAATGGAAAAATCTTTTATTATGTTCAACGGCATACTCTTTTTTTACATATACTTGATGGACCGACGTTTGACCACTATCTCGCCTAGTGGTAAGCGAGTAGAGGTAAACTCGATTAGTTTCAAGCCACGATAGGGGCTCATACTGATGAACAGCGTTACATGACACGCAACTTGAACGTGGTGTGTCGCTAGTCTAGTTAAAAGTAACGTTAGCCGTTAACACAAATAATTGTCGTACGCAATAGGGTAGATGACTAATTTTTACTTTAATGTCCGTCTGGTAGATTATTTAAAAACATTAGACACGTATTTTTAATTTTCTTACGGAAACGAATAGTTTCGAAGATATATTGATTTGAAATATCGCATGACGTCACTTTTGAGTACGATTTATACTCTAAAATGACGTAGCTACCTCCCACTCCTAAACTTTGATTTGTTTTATCTAAGTATTATTTTCTTATACGACAAAATGAAAAAATACGTGTCTAATATTTGTTCATTAGCTAACTGACGGACTAATTAGATTTTTAATTTTCATACCCTGTCATCATCCCTATTGTGATACAACAATGAAAAATTAATGTATGTTGTCGCTTAGTTGACGATCGTATACGACACATACCTACAACAAAAAATACATTCACAAGAGGTCATTCATTCAAAAAGTTTGTCGTCATCCCTATTTAAAAACAAAGTTTCAAGTCAGTTACTAGCTTAAAAAATACCTTTCTTCAGCCCTGTGTAGAACATAGAGGTATATATTGAATAACGAAGATAATTTAAAAAAAAAAACAATATACACCGTGATCGCTGTTTCGTTTTCGTCCCGCGGCAAAACAACTTGCCATAAGGAGTACTTTCGATCAAAACAATAAAGATGTCGTTATTTTACAATACATGTTTTTTTGACATATAACACTAGACGTAAACTTGTAGGCAGTATTCGCATCGCACGTGACACCCGACGAGAAATACCTCTTCGAGAATTACATGGCGCGATGTTTTGATAATGTACTGTAATGAGTTCGTATGCGCTTTCGAAGTTTGTTGTGTGCAATGGTTCGCCAGTTACTTTTCGATTTAAACATTATATATACTTCTTTGTAAAACTATTGTATTACCGAGACAGAACCATTTTACTCCGGGACAAAAACGAAACAGATTTCACGGTGTACCTCTATAGGGGCTTACATAAACAAATTTTCGATACAGGTAGGTGGGTACCGATTAATGCAGGGTTAACTTACATATATAACTCTTTATTACCAAGTTAACCAAGTTCATAAGATTAAGTTAAAATCGCGGGTTACTGACGTGAATATAAGCTTAACTAGTTTCGAACCAAAGGTCCTTTCACGGTTGTCAACCTACAACCGTAGGTTAGGTACGCTGCTTATGAGGAAGAACCCCTCTGTGGGTCCAAACTAGTAAAGCTTATTTTATATCTTATACTTACTTACTATTATATAAAGCGGAAGGGTTTGTTTTTTTGTTTGTTTGTTTGAACGCACTAATCTCCGTAACTACAAGTCTGATTTGAATAATTCTTTTTGTGTTGGATAGCGCATTTACCGAGGATGTCTATAGGCTATAAAACATCACGCTACGACCAATAGGAGCTGAGCAGAGCGTGTGAAACCGCGCGGATGTAGCTCGTGTATGTATATTTCAGTTCATACTTTAATACCTACATTGATTCGTATATCTTCCGTTATCAGCATGATAACCTTGTTTTAGTGAATTTATTGTATCAGGTGTTATAATCTATCTATGTAAATAAAACAAAGCCGTTTTAGTACACTATACTCAAAAAGGGCTAGATAGATTTTTTTTATTGGATAAGTCGGTAAACGAGCAGACAGATAATCTGATGGTAAGCAATCGGTAGTCTATCCTTACTAATATTATAAATCGGAAAGTGAGTTTGTTTGTTTGTTCCGCTTTCACGCCGTAACTACTAAACCTAAGTATATTCACGTGAGTAACCCGCGATTTTTAGTCAATTTAGAATGTCTCACGATAGTTCATTAGATGATATAGAGGTACAAATTAATACCTGCACTGAACGGTATTGTCTTACCCGTACCGGTAACCTGTGCATTTAAGCGTATACAATTCGTTATAGTACTACAGGGCCGAAGAAATTAATAACACAATACATATTTTTAGCAATATTGTCACCTTACTAGAAAAATAATTGTAGCAGAGACTCAAGCCTAAATAGGTATGTGAAAATTTTAGCACAATTGGCATATTTCTAGCTTCAAAACTTCAATATTTTCAAAAATGATACGTTTTCTATAAATGTCGTATTAAATATGTCGTGATGTCAATATTTTTTTTATGAGATAAACCGGTAATCGGGCAGACGGATCACCTGATGGTAAGCAATCGGCGTCGCCCATGGACACCTGGAACACCAGAGGCGTTACAAGTGCGTTACCGGCCTTTTGGGAAAGGAGTTTGAGGATTGTAGAGGATTCGGGGAATGGGGAGACTGGGGAAGGGGGTAATTGGGCCTCCGATAACCTCATTCACACGACGAAACACAACGCAAGCGTTGCTTCACGTCGGTTTTCTGTGAGGCTGTGGTATCACTCCGGTCGAGCCGGCCCATTCGTGCCGAAGCATGGCTCTCCCATACTTGAATATATTTAGTGGTAAATAAATCAAAAGAAATCTGTTAGAACTCAAGATATTTTGGGTTTATTTGTACAGGATACGGACCATCCTCCATGATTATATACCTCTATTATCCCAATAAAATTAGATAATAAAAGTATTGTACTAGAAAGTAGAGTAACGAAAGAAGTATACAGAGCGGATATGAATGGGGCCGTCGGTAGAGGGCGACCTAGTCGGACATATACTGACCAGATTGGCGATATATTAAAGAAGGGCCAAATTAAAAGTACCCTTAACCGACGAGCATGCATGAAAAGACTGATGACTGTTGATGAAGCGAAAGAGGTATGTAGGAATCGTAGTAGTTGGCGTTCCATAGTCCCTGCCTACCCACATGGGCGACAGGCGTGAAGTTATGTAGAATTCGATACCAAACATGCTTTTTTATATTTAATGAACCGAAGTTTATCCATTATCTCGCTTGGTGGTAAAAGATGATGCGGTCTACGATGGAGCACGTCGTCCCATAAAGCAACCTATTCACTCGGGCCTTGAAGACACCCAGGTATCCAGATACCCTTCAGGAAATACAGTCTCTGGCAAAGAGTTCCACTCCTTAGCAGGGAATGTTGTACACATTTAAATAAATAGGTACACATTACAAATAGTAAAATAAAATTCTGCATGAAGACAGACAACCGTCCGATATTCAGCCGGTCATTGCTCTACATCTGTTCAATCTTACACTCGTATGTCTGTTTGTTTACTAGTCCAAACGAACAAATGTATTCGTAGGTGAACATTAATGTAAATAAACACTTCAATAACTTTACAAGGACTAAATTAGAGAATAACTACCGTAGCCAGAGACATTTCATGATAACTTAAAGTATTCATTAGTAACGAATTTATTCTGAAAACAATTGGGTACTTTCCAGGGTATCAAAATTAAAAATCTAATTAGTCCGTCAGTTAGATAATAAAAAAATATTAGACACGTATTTCTTTATTTTCTCGTATTAAGTTGCAAGACTTAAATAAAATCGCGCTAAATTTAAGAGTAGGAGGTCGTTACGTCATAATGTGCTACAAAATGTGACACGCTGTGACGTCACACGATATTTCATATTAATATACCGTCGAAAGTATTTAATTTTGTGAAAAAAGAACAAATACGCGTGTAAAGTTTTAAATAAATGTACCAGACGGACGTTAAAATAAAATTTTGGAAACAACCCTATTGCTAAGGACTTTTGAAGGGGGGGGGGGGGGTCCTCGAATGACTTCTCCCGCCGTCGCGTTAGCTGGACAGACGACCTAATTAAGGTCGCAAGGAGCAAGGATGCAGGTCGTTTCCAACCGGCCTATCTGAAAGTCATTGGGGGAAGCCAATGTTCAGGAGTTGACATTCTATGGCTGATATGTCCACCTTATGGGTCGACTATAATATAAATCATTTAAGACTTTAACCAAAAATCGCGGGTTACTCATGGGAATATACTGATTTTTATTTATTTATTTATTTATTTTACATAAGTACAGATACAGACGACAGATTGAAATCGTACACAACAATCTCAATTATAAATAGTGAGCGAACCTGAAGTCCAATTACAACTGTACATAATCCATTTATATCAAATTACATAAACAATTCCCAAATGTTAATCCATTTTACTATAATAAATTTTGTTCAATTTATGAAAACTAAAAATTACTAAAAACAGGCCATACAAGAAATCAAAGGTAACAAAGGTACAAAGGGA